GCCTCACTCTAGGCCCAACACTGGCAGTCAGATCACAAATTGCAGATAGTGCTTGTACCAGCTGGATACCTGGAGTGGACTTGTGAACTTAACCAGAAAGTAACATTTCTCTAAGCATAATATTTGGGTCAAGGCTGGCCATAAGATATTTGGGTCAAAAAGAGGGGGGCCAGGATTTTTTTTTTTATATAAGAAATTTTTTTAGGAGTTTTATGTTCACAGCAAAATTGAAGAAAAGGTACAGTTTTCCCATATATCTTCTACCATGACACATGCATGGCCTCCCCCGTTGTCATCAATCCCCCAGTAGAGTGGTACATTTGTTACAGTTGATGAACCTCCACTGACACACAATGATCATCCAAAGCCCACAGTTTTATCTTGGTTCACTCCTGGTGTACAATCTATGGATTTGGAAAAATATATAATGACATATTTCCATCATTAAGGTAACCTACAGAGTATTTTCACTGTTTTGGAAATTCTGTGCTCTGCCTATTCATCCTTCCTACTTATTCATCCTTTCCTACTTACCCCTGGTAACCACTGATCTTTTTACCATTTCCATAGTTTTGCCTTTTCCAGAACACCATATATTAGGGACCCTACAGCATGTAGACTTTTCAGATTGGCTCTTTCACTTAGTAATATTCAAAATTCTTCCATGTCTTTTCATGGTTTTGTAGTTCATTTCTTTTTGACATTGAATAATATTCCATTGTCTGGATTTAGCACAGTTTATCCATTCATCGGCTGAAGGACATCTTGGTTGCTTCCAAGCTACAGCCATTATGAATCAAGTTGCTACAAATATCTGTGTGCAGGCTTTTGTGTGGACAAATATTTTCATCTTATTTAGGTAAATAGCAAGGAGCATGATTGCTAAATGGTATAGTAAGAGTATGTTTACTTTTGCTAGAAACTGCCAAATTGGTTTCAAAAGTGGCTATACCATTTTGCATTCCTACCGGTAATAAATAAGAGTTGCTCTTGCTCCATCCACCTCCTTGCCAGCATTTGGTCATGTTCCGTGTACCTGATTTTAGCCATTCTAATAGATGTGTAGTAGTAGCTCATGGTTGTCATTTGTATTTTACTGATGTTCTATGATGTGGAGCATCTTTTCATACGCTTTTGTCATCTGTAGATCTTCTTTGGTGAAGTGTCTGTTAAGGTCTTTAACCCATTTTTTTTTTTAAGATTTTATTTATTTGAGAGAGAGAGAAAGAGATAGAGAGCACGAGAGGGAAGAGGGTCAGAGGGAGAAGCAGACTCCCTGCCAAGCAGGGAGCCCGATGCGGGACTCGATACCGGGACTCTAGGATCATGACCTGAGCCGAAGGCAGTTGCCCAACCAACTGAGCCACCCAGGCGCCCGTAACCCAATTTTTTTTTTAACAGGGCTGTTATTTTTCACTTTCAAATGTTCTTTATATATTTTAGATTACAGTCCCTTATCAGATGTGTCTTTTGGAATATTTTCTACCAGTTCATGGCTTGTCTTCTAATCTCTTGACATTATCTTTTGTAGAGCAGAAATTTTTAATTTTAATGAAGTCCAGCTTATCAGTTGTTTCTTTCATGGATCGTGCCTGAGGCCAGGACTTTAATTCTTTTGAGGTAAGAGAATCTAAACTTTTCTAGAAAAATTTCTCTGAGAGGATGTGGGCCTTAAATTCTAGAAGTCATCTTGAAACCCTGTGAGATTAAAAAATAAAGGCAAAAAATGTTGGGCAGCAGAATCAGGAATAAAGAGAGACTGTTTTCTAGACAGTATGAGGCCCTGAGTCCATCTATACTGAGGTAAAATACCTTTGGCCTTTCTAATTTTGTGATCAAATATATCCCCATTTTGTTTCAGACTTTAGGGACCAGAATTTTTTTTGGATGAGGAGTTTTGGCCAGCATTTTTGGATGAGGAGAAACTATTCATTGTCCTAATGCTCTATTTTATTATATTAGATGACTAAATGCCTGCACACCTCTCTCTCTCTCTCTCTCTCTTTGGTGAAATGAATTACCATGTATTACTACTCCCTTAAAAAATGATGTGAGTAATTCTAGCCAAGACACCAGCCATGTGATTGTAGTTCAGAGATTGGTCCTAAGGGACTGACAGGATTTGCTCTGTTCCATAGAACAGAATACAGGAAAAGCAATTTAGGTGTGTTCATGCTAAAGTTCTTGAGAAAGAACTGAAAGTCAAAAGTTGGAAACAATATTCAAATACTAACTTACTTTTTTAAAAGTAAACAAAAATATGAGCAGTTGATAAAAGAACTCAAGATTTTTCCTAAATAGGTGATTTCTTTAATGTCATTTTCTTCCTTATTCTGGTATGGAAATGGGCCAGGACACCTTCAATAGTCAAGATTGGAAGTCCCTTATAAAATGCATAGTTACATGACACATATTTAAATATACATGCCATAATTATATAATTGTATGAGATGATTGATAGAAATACATATGGAATGGAGCATGGATGGTAAAACAAGGTATACTAATTTGTTTGACAAATAAGATATCCTAGTATATGAATGCACATTTGTAATTGAAAGGAGATTATTAACAAATTCCAGTAAAGAAGGTAAAAGTCAACTGGAGCTTATGGAACAATTATTTTGTCTTAGGACTCAATCTTTGTAATGACTGAAGAACACTAAAATTTTTTAAAGTATAAAAAACTTCATAACAGTCACATTTTATTATTCAGGATAATATTATAATGTAAAAACTAAAATCATTTGAGCAATTTTCAGTATGATCTGTTGATTTTGAACATAGAATAAACAAAGTAGGTAAATATAAATGCTGTATAATGTAATTCTACATAAAATTCACAGTTAGATGTATTTGATTATGTAAAACAAAGCAAGACCATACCACCAGAAAGCTTCTTATCTAAAAACAGAGTAAAAATAATATTCTCATGATTTAAACATTGCAAACTATCTTAGTGTGAGTCTTTCTTGATTAAATAATGAGCCCATGAATGGTTTTTGGAGAAGACATTCAACTCATTAATGTGTTATTTATATGTTGTTGGTGGCAACTAATCACTTGCCCTAAGGAGACATTACCCTTTATTTAAAGGTGTTGCTATCCATGTATAAATGACAACAATGCATATTTCACGGGGATTTCAATTTCTAAAAGTCTCAAATTCCACAGCAAAGATCCAGTGTAAGGCAATTACTTATGTATATATTGTGTATATTATTATATTTGAAATCAAGATATAAAATTTTAAGTCAACATATTGACACTATTTTATAATGATGTAAGTTTTATGCCATAGGATGAAAATGATTTGTAATTCTATTTTAGGACTTCATATTCAGCCTCAAAACATAGTGATTTTATAGCTCACATCAGCTGGACCCTGAATTCATGTGGATAGTTGGGAAGAGATCATATTTTTAGGTAGGAAATCAGCATGAATAAGCTGAGTAATTAAAGATGTATTCAGTGAACAGTGTAGACCTTTTTACCTAAATTGACCTAGTCAAGAAAGAGAGCACTAGTTAAGTCCAAAAATATATATATCAAAATAAAATTGTGGTGAATAGGGTGGGGTTAATTACCAACTAGTGTGTCCTTGATGGATTTTGAGTGGTAGAGAAATATATTGAATTCTTAGGAATTAAATCAATAATGATGTGAAGAATGCAATAGGGGCAAAAAGCCTGGAGTTGAAGTTTATGAAAAAGGAAGCAATAGTGTTTAGAGACTGATTAGATATGTATATGAAGAAAAATAAGTCAAATTGGGTTCAAACTTTCAAGGCTGAGGAACAGGCAAAATTATAATACTATTGCTAGAGAAAATTCATAAAGCTAAACTAAGTGGATGAAGTGATTATTTGTTTCTAGATGATAAGTTCAAATTTAAATGCACAGTTAGAGATGAACACTATAGAAACTAGAATGTCCAGGAGGCTGTTGAGAGCCTGCAATAGCGGAGCAGAGGAGGAAAGGTATAGATCTGGAGAAAGGTGAATTAACTCCAAGGAAAGGTTAAGTCACTGAGAGTGAATAACACATAGATTTTCTAGTAGAATCTTCCTCTTCTACAGCAGTAACATGACTTTTTTTTCCCCCCGCCTTAAACATGACTTACTGGATTGTACTATGCGCAAAGCCTAATGAAAAATGAGTAGATTTCGGTATGTTTAAATATTCTTACTATTTTGGGTAAGAAAAAATTTTGTTAAACAACAAAATTGGGAAGTACATAAACAATTTCCTTTTTTTTTTTAAAGCTGACATCTTTAAAATTTACTCGAATGAATTTTGTTGTTTCACAGGATTTACAGTCCCTTCTAAGATTAGATGTTGCATTCAAGAGATTATTATAGTCAGAAGGGGTTATTATTGCTATGTAATAATAAACGAGGAATCCTCAAACTCATGGTTACAAACAACTCATAGTTCTATGAGTTGCCTGGGCTCAGCTCGGTGGTTCTTGCTTAGAGTTTCCCATGCTTCTATGGGCAGATGACATCAACATCTGTGCATCTGAAGGCTCCACCAGGCTCCTTCACAAGGCTGGCAGGTGAGGTTTTCTGGGTGCTCAGGTGGTCTGCGGAACAAAGTGAACCTCACCTCTCTATGTGGCTCAACGATTTCCTTTTGATTGCCATTGAAAACTTCCCTTTCTGGGTGCCTGGGTGGCTCAGTCGTTAGGCATCTGCCTTCAGCTTGGGTCATGATCTTGGGGTCCTGGGATCGAGTCCCATGCCGGGCTCCCTGTTCAGTGGGGAGTCTGCTTCTCCCTCTGCCCCTCCCCCCGCTCATGATCTGTCTCTCTCTCTCTCTCTCTCTCTCTCTCTCTCTCTCTCCTTCAGATAAATCGTAAAAACAAAAACTTCCTTTTCCACCAAGCTTCTTCTTACCATGATCTGTACTTAACACACAACTATTCAGCCATTTTTACTAATATAATGGGTCATAAGCAAATAAAAATAGTTTAATCAATCAAAATCAGGCACATGATAGAGTTGACTCTCTTTGTTCAGATAATGGTTTGGCTCAGGACTGATATGAGGTACTGGTTTATAAAAAAGGAGAAAAAGTATGTCCAGGGAGGGAAGCACATGATGGAATTGTATTATTACCAGCTCTAGTTAAATGTATAATTGAGTGATCCTTACAGAAAGAAGTGCTTGTCACCATTTTAGATGTGAAATCCAAAAAGTGCTTGATCTTTAATAGCTGTATTTTTTAATCTGTGCATAGGCTATAAAGGAGATCATCATCTACATGATCAAAACAAATAAATGACAACATATTCTCAGATGATCACCAAATGAAAAAATGGACTGATTTGATGTGGCCAGTAATATGATAATTTGTAGTCAATGGGAAATAGAAAGGGATTGAGAGAATAAGTAAATTCATAGTAATCAGCCCTTGAATATGCACTTTGATTAGATAAAGAAATTCTGATACAAATTATTAATAGTGGTTATTATGTACATAGAAAATTCATGGAAATATTCATTAAAAGGATTTCAAGAAAGAAAAAATAAGAATTATAGTGAAAAGTTTCATCCAAAATATTTAGAACTGATGTAATAATGTAACAAATTTATATTTTTTTAACAAAAATTTTTTCATATACTATTTTCACTGTCTGCTTCTTTCTTTTTCTTTTGGTTTTAATTAATCCTCCTTTTGATATCCTTTGGATGAAACCTACAGAAGGAAGAGAAACATATTTATTATGCATAATAAAGTAATACAATAAAACATTTTATCTAAATTTTCTCAAATTATCTTTTAATATATAGAACCAAAAATTGGCTTAAAAGTCTTTAATTTGTCTTTATGCAGAACAACCTATTTCTAAGGAAGTCATTTCACATATATAAGAATTAGCAAAAATGGATAAGCATGTTTCTGATTTTTTATTACTCCTCTTCACTTAGAAATTCATGCTCATTTTAGTAAAGCAAACGTGGCTGAATATGGTTGGTGGAGTTATATGTGATTTTCATTTATATATTAATGCTCTCTAAACATGCATCATTTTTATAGTCAGAAGAAAATTAGTAACTACATTTAAATGTTGTGCATAATAAGATGCTTAAAAATATTTTGGTATAATTTAAAATGAAAGCTTAGTATGTAAATATTAAAATAAAATGTTTTGTTTCAAGCAGATTAGTTTTCTGTGAAAGACACATTATGAGGAATTGTAGTTAACATCTCCAGCAATATCATCTAAATGTAGTTGAAACGGGGACATATATTACCTAAATTATAATATTTTGTTTCTTATTATAAATAGAACTAATTTTATAATATTTTTCTCATATTAAAATTTGTTCATAATTTCAATGCAATTGTTATCTTAAACACTAGTGAATTAATGGGAAGAATGTCCTTTATACCTTTCTTACAAGTCCTAAGACATGCTTTTTTAGAAGTAAAATTATTTTCATTCCCTCCACATCCACTGTACTTAAATGGGCGGCATTTCCCAATGACTGAATTGTAGTAGAATCGGCTCTCATTGGCTTGACACAATCCTCTGTCTGCTGGAGTCAGACACCAGGAAGGACCGTGAAATTCTAAGAACATCAAGAAAACATGGTAAATCATGTATGATAGTTAATCTAAAACTTTCATATTTATTGATTATTTATTCTCTTATAGTATATTTATGTAAAACAGTAATCTGCATGAATAAAAGTAGTACTCGGTGAAATTCATGTATTTCAACTCCAGGAAAATGCTTTACTAATCTCCAACTGTCCACTACAGTAAGACCTATCTCTAATAAAAAAGTAGATATATTTGTTAAAGAGAAGTACTATGGTGACTCTTCATAATGAAAAAAATAGTTGTACATAATAGACAAACCACTATTCAAAAATTGAACTTATAAAAATTTGTTAACCATATTCACTTTAACAAATTATCAATGTTTACACATCCTTTTTGTTCATGAATGTTCAACTTCGGGAGGAAAAAGTCCTCATGAGCAATCCTTATTCATTGAATGACATCACTGAAGCTGAGGAAGAGTAGTTGTTGTTGTTTTGTTTTTTTGACTAAAGTTCTAAATGATGTAACATAGTCACAATTTAAAACATAGGAATTCAGGTGTAAGAAATTCTAACTTTAAGCTTCAGAGAAGGATCCCTGAAGAGATGGTTTGATTTAGTAATAAAGTTTTCTTGTGAATTGAAGCATCAGTTCTCGATGAGTTAGATGTTTTTGCAAAGGAAGGAATATTGCTAAAGCCAGTAAGATAGAACATTTACAGGTTTAAACCAGGCAGACAAGCTGGTCTGTCGATGGAATCAACCACTTTAGAAACCAAAGAAAGAAAATACAACCAGGATAATAAAAGGATCGCTCATTTTCTTAAGGCAAAGCAGAGAAATAGTGTCAGTACAATGGTAGTTTTTAGCTCTTTGGGAATTCCTGTGAGGGGAAGCTGGTACTCTAGCAGCAGACTTAAACTGCTTAATATTAGTAAACCAATACTGCAGGCAAGTTGGTAGATGGTGAGAAATCAATATAAGAAAACTTTAGTGGCTTTGCCAAATTGTGAGTTGTGGCACAGCAAATGCAGACAAAGATGGTATACTAAATATACAAAATCAGCAGAAAATAGAACTTTGAGGAATCCAGCCAATGAAGGCAAATAGGTTGGGCAGAAAGCTTAAACTGGTCTGATGGCAAGCGAACCCTAGATGAAAGACTCTAAAAGAAATAAAATGAAACAATTTGAGGGGAAAATGCAGAAATTATTTGATCTAATCTGAATTAATGAACAATAATCCTAATAAGACATGAAAAAATAAGAATCTGCATTTACCTCCTGCCTTCTTGATAATTTAAATGATTAGAGTGTCTTGATATAATGGCTCATATAATAAGAGAAATTCTGGAAAATAGGAGTGGGAATACTATAGAAAGAATATATAAGACATTTTAGAAAGATGAAAATTCTGTGTCAAAATTCAAGAACTGTAATCACCTAAAGAATATTATTTAGGTCTTTGATTAGATCTACAAACACTAATTTTTTTAAAAGATGACCTTTGGATCTGTAAAACTAAAACATTCAAAATCATGTAGTCTAATTTATCTTCTATGTCATCCTATTTGGGGGTTATAGTGCATGATTAGTGCCATCAGAAATCAAAATTAAAGTGTTATTTGGTGAGAATGTATGCTTAACTTTCTAGAAACTGTTGAAGTCTCCTGTCTCCAATAATGGTTTATGTAAGAGGAATTTTCTAACAGTATAGTAGAGATATACTGTAATTGAGCCCTACTATTGTGCAAACTTTTCCAATGTCTATGCTCTGGATTCTCATTAACCCAGAACCTAGAATATGAGATGGTTATCGGTTGCTACCACTTCTGTCTCCATGAGCTTCCAAAGTCATCACCTGTATTCAGAAACAAAAGAAATACTCCTCAAGCAATTAGCCTAATTTGAGAAACAGAGAAAATTGCTCTTTTTTTTTAATTCTCAGCAAGCACCCACAGATGCTTCATAGCTGATATAGGAGTATGATGATATGACTTATACCTCAATTTCACTTTTGCATTTTGTATACAAAATTTATTAGCCCACAGTAAGTTGAAGATAATATATATAGATGTACCTGTAAGTTGTACACTTCTTTACAAATGTTTATTATGTCTTAATAGCAACATTCTACCTAAATTTCCTTATTCCAGGACAGAGAGAATTTTCTGATGACATGAAATAAATTCATCCTTCTTTTCCCTTAAACTGTAGTAAACCTGGCCCCATAACAAAATCAAGGCTATTTCAAAATGCAAACAAGCGAGACTGGTACATCTGGGGCTACAATACCTAGACGGAAGATAACAATGGAGGAGGCTCTGAAACCATGGAGGATATACTACAGGTTTGATGGGGAGAGGTACCCTAGCTTCTGTCTTCCTTTGGTCACTGAGTCTTCCAACAATGTCTGCCACTCACCAAATCTACTCAACAGCTAAGGGAAAAAGTACAATATATGTATGGGACAGTGCAAGAAGAAGGCAGGGGGATTAGTTTGAAGGCAAGATAGTTGACAGCACAGATGCCGTTAGAGAGTTTCATAGCTGTTCATCCATTTCACTTTGTTTGCCCTGATTTTAATCACTACCTGCATAGATTATCAAATACAACTCACTTTTGACCCAGATAATTATTGTGGTTCCTAACATTAAAAATACAAGTATTTTGATAGTGAGTTAAAATTTGAAATTAATTACTAAGAACGTTGTATTACAGTTAACTTGTAAAAGTTTTTAATACAGTAATTATCAGTTGTGGAGTTTTTATAAGGCCATTATTCTTCGGAAGATTAATTATACTTGTATGTAAACTAATTCATTTCTCCTAAAATCATTTGAACTCTAAGTAGTTAAGACTATCATTGGATCAGGGCACCTGGGTGGCTCAGTTGGTTATTCAACTCTGGATTTCCACTCAGGTCATGATCTTGGGGTTGTGAGATCGAGCCCCATGTTGAGCTCTACACTGGGCATGGAGGCTGCTTGGGATTTTCTTTCTCCCTCTCCCTCTCCCCCTCCCCATTCCCTTCTCTCTCTCCCTCTCTAAAAAAAAAAAGACTGTCATTAGATTGCTTTAACATAGACAACAACAATATGATTAAAATAATTAAGCAGATGGTTTCTCAAGGACATTTTAGCTCTAACATTTTTTTGAACCCTTGGTTATCATCCAGTTCTCTCTCTAACGGTGAGGAAATTGAAGTTCTTGCACCTCATGAGGAGATAAGCTTGACTGTTTTCAGTGAACATATGTATTCTAGATAAACATAGGCACTCACCTATTCAAAATCCAGACAATGATATCTACAATGAAAGAAAATATAAAGGTTTTGAAGTAGTTACACAATGAATTTTTTTTTGTCCAGATTTAATTATTCACAGGTATTTAAGGTAGAATAAAGACACTAACCTGACTTCTATTTACTTTTCAAAGGGAATTTAATAACCAAAGCTATTCTGTCTTGATCTCACCATTAATAACAAGTTGGATAGCTTCCATTTAGAGGGTCTATGATAGGTTTCAGAATTCAGGATCCACTTATATTCTGCCAGGAACTGCCATGATCTAGTATGACTGCTAAACTGTAAGGTGGCACTCCAAAATCAGTTTTATATTTAAAGTGGTTTATATAAATTTTCTCTGAAACTTATACTGTAAACTTTAAATTTTATAGTCCCTTTGAATCCTTACCATGGTGTCTTTCTGTTCCCATTTTATATAATATTTAGGCTTTTATTTTACCAAACAATTTAGGATTTATGAATTACCCCATCACTTGCTGAGAAATTTTTTGTCTTCTGAGATTGTTTTAGGGATTGAATAATAAATCTTTCCTTTGAATAACACATTCTTTTTTCCCATAATTTTCTAGTAAAGAAAAATATAAATATTTTAACTTTCTAATTATAACTTATTGTAAGACACTGAATTAATACAAAAGTATAACAAATATAAAACAAAAGTTCTCAAAAATTTGACCCCTGACCCTTAATCATTATCAATGCTTTGTTGTATATTTTCCTCCAAATTGTTTGCCTAGGCAAACATATATTAGCATACTACTGTTTCTTTTTATACTTGATAACATTTTGTGAATGTTTCCATGTTTGTTCATATATATTTCATTTTTAATATGTACAGTGTTCATTTCTTCAATTGACTACAGTACATTTAGTCAACCCATTATGCATGTGGATGTAGATTATTTTTTTCAATTCCAGATTAATGGCTCACGAGCATCCTTGTACACTAGTTCAGATATTTCTAAAGACCTTTCTAAAATTAGAATTGTGTAAAAGCTATACTCAATTTATAATTTGGTGGATGCTGCTGAATCTTCCACCAAAAGCTTATATAAATTTATACTTCACAATGATGTTTAAAAGTACCTAACCAATTACTTAATAAAATGTGCACCTTACTGCAATGAATTTATTTGTATTCACTTTTCTTCTCTCCTCATACCCACAAAAGTAGATGATTACTATAGAGATGTTTTTATTAGGTAGGGAGCTTAGCAGTTCTCAAGGTTGCAACTCCCCAAAACAGATACTTTTATGCTGACCTTCTTCTATACTGTTAGGGATTCTCTACTAGCTACTTTCAGGTCTGTATTTTATTTACTTCATGATGTGTTAGAGAACAAAGATAGCAAAGAAATATGAAAAGGAAATATGCTAGAATGTTGACAGTGATTGTCTCTGTGGAATGCAAGTATGGCCAATTGTCTTTCTTTTCTATTTTTTTCAATTTATCTGCTATTATAATATTCAAATTATAAAATAAAATATATAACGTTAGAAATAGGATTATATAATCAAAATATTTTTTAATTCATCCCAGAGTCCTGGGGTCATAAGGAAAAGGCTGGAGATTGGAATTTGTTTGTGGTTAGAAATGGAGAGTAAACCTATCACCTGTAAGTATACTATTTACAGATAGTAAATCTATACTATAGGAAAAGCAGTATCTCCATTCACTAACATGGGAGAGTTGGTGTGAAATGGGCAGAAACTGACA